ATAGAGAGAGCCCTCTTATGTCAGGAGATGTCTCTCCTGACATAACACCTCCCCCGGTGAGAGAAGAGTTGAAGTAGAACAAAAGATACAATATGAAAAATGGTTTGAATCACACACAAAAAAAAGAACCAAAAGAAAGAAAAAACCGAAGTTCGAATAATGAAGATAGACAAAAGAAAAGGTTGTTAATTAGAAGTGGAATATCAGATGATTACCAATAGAAAAGCAAATATTAAAGGTGTTGCAAGTACAATGAAATAGAAAGCATTAATAGATGGAGAGAAATCAAACGAGAGAAAATGTTTATGATACGATCGGGTTTGGTGGTACCAGTGAAGATGTGTGTGGTTCACGTGGTGGTGAAAGTAATAACGATGGATATTGTGGTAAAGATTGATGTAAAAACGAATTAGGTATATGAGCATAAGGTGGCTGATAAGGTGGTGTTAAAATGGAAGAGACATGAGCTGGAAAAGGTTGTGATGCTTGTTGCTGTTGACTGGCTAGTTTCAGTGTCAGTCGGCAACGTTTATAAACGTAAATAAGAACAGCGGCGAGTACCAAACCCCCCACAACGAGTAACAGCAAGAATACATAATGTGTCCAGTTGCTACTATCAAAGCGTTGATCGCAAGAGACCACCGTTTTGCTATCAAGGAGGGCATTGATTGAATGAGTCAGGATAAACCAAACCCAAATGAATAGAACCGCCATGGTAGAAAAGAAATGTTAACGAATAATTTGAAAGTAACGTGTAAGAGTATATGCAGTGTATATAGGATAATAAGAAAGTAACAAAAAATATCGATGAAAAAAATATAAAAACTTGTTCGAATAGTAACGATGATAAAATTCAGATGGGGAAAATATTCGAATGTAAATACAAAAGACGACATGTGAATATGTAATGATTCTGGCGATGTGTTAGCGTAGGAAGAGAAAATTTCACCAGGGTATGACTTGATTCCGAGAATATACACGTTTAATATTGTGCGAATGGACCTGAAATCGTTGAAGATTTTCATCTTCAACAATAAAAGACACCGGTGAAATAAGTTGAATGATTCGAACAGGACCTGTATAACGAGCATCGAGTTTATTACGGCCCACGAAAATTTTCATCCACACTAGATCACCTGGTAAAAAAATTGGGTGTGATCTATTTTTATCAAAACGAAGTTTCGATAGTTGCTGTTGATGTAGAACATTGTTTTTCGCTTGTTTTAACACCGTATTTCTATATTGCATTAATTGTGTCCAATAATCATGTGGTTTAGTAAATTCGAAAGTAGTTGCAGGAGGCTGAAATGGATGACGTAGTTGTCGTCCAAATGCAAGTTGATAAGGTGTAAATCCAGTCGAACTATGTATACCATTATTATATGCATAAACGATAGATGGTAAAAAAGTGTCCCAATTGTCGTGTTCTGTATTACAAAATTTAGCGAGTTGTGTAGCAAATGTTGCATTTCATCGTTCAGTTTGTCCATTTGTTTGTGGATGATATGGTGTTGAAAAAATATGAGCACAACCCACTAATTTTGATATAGCTTGTAATAATTCATTCTTGAAGTGGGTACCTTGATCAGTGATTAATATATCTGGTGGACCATGAACTAAAATAATTTTTTCCATTAAGATTCGAGCAGTATCTTGAGCCGTATTGGTAGGTGATGCTGTAGCAAAAACATAACCGGAAAGACGATCAGTTACAACAAGAACATATCGATTTCCAGAAAGTGAAGGAATAGTAGGTCCCCACCAATCCATTCCTAGTATTTGAAAAACATCATTCGGTGGTTGGATAGGTTGTAAAAATCCAG